TGTCTCTGGACAGCCTGAAGTTGTACAGATACTTCCCTTGATACAGCAATCAAAGAGGGATAATACACGGGGAGAAAAAAATTCCTGAAAAATATTATGAGAACATTAAGTGAAAATATTATAAAAATATGTAAAAATATTGTAAAATATGTGAAAATATTGTGCTTTTTCCAGGTTCCCAAATCTGTCCCTGCAGTTATCCAACAAGAACAGGCATGCATAGATATAAAAGCAGAAGACTGAAGGAGAGGAAAAAAATGTGTTATTAAATCCCCCTTCTCATAATCATAAGAAAGTGTACTGCATTTTCAGATTGGATTTAATCTTATTAATTAATCTTAATCTTATTTGAGGCTGACGGGTGGCAAAGGGAAGACCAGTAGATTTCCAAACAGAAAAGCCTAAGAATCCCAAGTGAGAGAGAACGGAGGCTGTGGAAGCAGTCAAAGCCACAGGAAGCGTCTTTTGTTAGGAAAAGTCTGAAATAACTGGTTAGCCAGCCATTCTCTTCTGTGAGCCTTCAGTGCAGGGCAAATCTTAAACAGAATGGGTCAGTTTGCCTTGTAGTTAGGATTCTTGGCTTTGCAAGCCTGGGGTATTGAGAAAGAATGTATCACTGCAAAGTCTTATATTTGTTGCCTTAATTCAACAAAAAGCCATCCAGCGTGCCAAAAATGCCACTGTGTTTATAATAATCTTAACGCTCTCACGCCAAAACAAACCATCAAACCAAGAATTAGGAGGTCTTTCTTCTGATGAAAACAATTTTGAATGCAAAACCACACCTACCATGTTAAACACAGAAGAGAGGATAGAAGAACAAAAACTGTACATTCAAATCTTTGTTTCACCTCATATTTTTTTTTTCTGCTAAAGCATTGAAACAAAAGTGTGATGTGTAAAACATAGCTATTTCCCTTCATTATTTGCAAGAACAATGGACAGATATCATCACATCCAGAGAAACAAGTACTTCATTTGCCATTTCTCAGTTTAATTAAACGCTGTCTTTCTTACATACCGTTTGTCACTGTTCGGGCCAGTAAACCCTGAGGAGGACAAGTAAATATTTGCCTCCATGTTCTTGCGGGTATTGAAGACCCTGCTGCCACTTCTGGAGGTTGCTGAGCATGATGATTCAAGAGAGCCGTTTCTTCTGTTTGTGTGTTCCCATCAGTACCTTTAGCATCTACTGTTGGTCCCTCCTGAAGGAAAACAATAAGACTCTCTCAGAAGTGGCACTGTATGCATTTGAAGACTTGAAATCAGCTGTGATGCACTAGACCCACGCCATCTACAGATGACTACATTAACTACACAATCACTGTAGGAATGGTCCAGCATTGTATATTTGGGATTTTTGGTTATGCGTTTGTTTTTGCATTGCACAAAGAACGAACTGCATGTGAGAGACTGCGGGACTTTTGCCTTTTTATCTGCAACTGACAGGACTCCTGTCCCAATACAAATACCATCTGTTCAGCAACAGTATCAGCATATTTGATGAAGAAACAATATTAACAGGCCAGGTTCAGCTTGTCTTGTATATGAGCTAAGTATTCATCAATATTTTCTACAGTTTGATAGGGTTCTGCTTCCAGACTGGATTCCACAATACAGTTAATGATGATCGTCGTTCCAGTGAGACAATGTCTTTAATATAGCTCCTGAATAACTTCTGTTGCAAAGTCTTGAACCAAAATAACAAAACCTGCTTGTGATTAGACAAAGATGAAAGAAACAGAAGAGCTGGCCAGTGCAAGCGTTACTCACATGATCCATTGCTGGAAGGCTCAAGCTGGTAAGTCAAGGCAGAGAAGGAGAAATACTACCCTGGGAGTTATTTGCTTGAAGAATGGTTCCTTGAAGCTGTTCTCTTATACTGATTCATCTACTCATCCATATGCATAGCCAAAGCACTTTTTGACCATTTTTGGATATATGCCTCACTTCGTTTTAGGGTCTTATTTTTGACAAGTTATTCATCTACCTTCCCCTATGATTATTCACCTTCATGTCAACTCATTGTCATAGCATGGACATGGAATTCTTGCCTACACTGTGGTTTGGCCCTCCTCCAGTAATAGTTCCACATTTCCCATTATTTTTCTGTCTCATCTCTCTCTCTATAGATATATATATGTAGATATATATATATTTTTATCCTTTACTCAGAGTCACAGTTGGAACACAAGTCTTGTGAGCCTTCAGTGTGGAGTTACTTGGTTATCTGCCCTGTGATCCTGTGATCACCAGCTACCCACGTGTATAAAGACACGCCATATGGTAATTGTCTTTACAGTCAATCTTATATGTTTACTCTAAAGTGCCTTTTTTATTAAGAATTTTATTCTTACTTGTGTTTACTGCAAGTGTTTTTTAAAGCCGTGGAGGTCAACACTAGAAATACACACATGGAAGTTTAAAATGCGGGGGGCGGGTATTTTTGTTAAATTAAAAAAGGAAGAGACGCATGAACAACTTTCAGCAAGTGGGTGGGTAGGCACAATTTGAAAGCAAAGAAGCAATCTTAAGTCCATTTAATTCTCTTCCATAGCTGATTGTAAAACTTACGCTGATGCATTTTCCACTGCAAGCTGAAATTGCAACAACTGATTTCCAGCAATCCGACATACCACAGACTTTTAAAAACTGAATATTTATGAATTGTAAGACATTCCCACTGAGGAGATTTCTCTTTGTATTCCCTTCAGATGTAGGGATTTTAACAGATGTAGGAAGAAAAAGGAAAGGAAACAGAGGGTTCCTCTGACTGAAACCGTACTTTGAGATCCTAATTAATTACCTCGCTTTTCTCATGCATGGGAATCATGCCATTTCTCTCACATACTGATGGCTCAGAATTGTCATTGTCATTTGCAATATCCTCCTTTACCATTGTTGCAAACCTAAAGAAAGCAATAAAGGTGGAAAAGTTAGAGAGAAGCAAACAATATTATTTTCCTGATGCAACACTTCTCGGTGATGTTGTTTCCTTCCCCATAAATCAGGTGAAAAAACTCTCACAGCCCAATTTGGAAGTAAATGGTTTTTGCATGCCTGCGTATGCTGTACAAAAGACAGAAACTAACAGAACAACAGTATTAAGCTTACAAAGTCAAGCACTAATAAAAATAGAATTAAAAAAATCTAAGTTTTAGAGCCACGATGACCTGTGCTAACCTGTTATTTCCTCCTTAAAGGTATGGCTGTAATATCTATATCTCTATATCTATATATCTGTTTGTGCCTCCTGTCAGCACAAGATAAAAGTTATTTGCTGGCAACACCACGTGCCAGGACCATTAGTCCTGAAAATGTCACAGGGCCTGTGTGCATGGCAGTGCAAGCAACCATTTCATAAAGCTAAGAACAACAACTATAGTTTCTAAAGCTTACACGCGAGGGGACACTATTTCCCTAACTTGAACCCGACCAGATCCAGCTTAGTTTTCAGGGGAGTTTTCAAGAACATGGTTCTGTTAGACATCACTATTCGCAAACACATTGACTGAATATCTGAGAAACAGAAAATGCCTGTTTGAATAAAGATCAGGACTATGCACAACTTGCACTCTGTATTCAGGTGAGCCTGATAAAACTTGGCTCTTTTTTACTGCTTATATCCCATGGAGATACTCCTCAGAGTGGGAAATAAGGTCCAAGTTGCTTGTGGGTAACTGTCATTGTATGTCCTCAGTCTAACTGGTCCACATCTCATCCCATAGATGCTAACAAGAGAGATGGCAGTGTACTGTCCTCTGTGTCAGAATTGTTTGGTGCAAATATTTACTGTAGATTCACAAGCCTGAGCCAGCAAGAGTCGCGTGCACATATCTGAAGGCAAGGCTTGCTAGCATTCTGTTACAGTAAAGGTGCGCCTATATTCTCCACCAACTACATTTCAGTGCTAACAGCATTTTCTTGAAGTCTTTTCCATTGCTCTGGCTATATAAAACACCACTCAAAGCTGAGCCAGAACTTTTGAGCCAAGAAATTCCTTCCTTGCTAAATTGCTGGAAGCAAGTCAGAGACCCAATTCTCACAATTCTGAAGCCTTCCGTTTATAATGATATGTTCGATATATGGGAATGATTGATGCCATGAACAAAGACAGGTGCTATTGTAACACTTGGGTGGTTTTGTTTGATCTGTTCTGATACAGAACAGGCTTGTGACATGGCCAAGGTATAGAGGAAGAATACAGAGCCATAGGCAAACACTTTCAATGTGTTCTAAGGTAATAGTTTTGCTTTCTTTCCTTTTTATATGTAAAGTGTTGATTCACTCAAATTCCAGTACTTTTCTATATCTTTAATTACTACTTGTGGAACCAAATAATTGTGGTCTTAAAGTTTTTTTTTTAATGAAATAAGTGATACTTTTGGGTTTTTTCACAGGATTGTTCGTCCTTTCATTGGGGCTGGGAAGCCACAAATGCCAGTCTACTAGCTGGAATAGAAAGTACCAGCAACCTACCAGCACCTCCTTCCTTCCCGTCACCAGCCACTTCCCCAGGGTACGTGCACTTAATTTTGTGATTCTGAAAGGGGTGCGCGTCAGTAAGGGACAAAGATATTGCTCTCCATCCAGCTTTGCATGAGCAACATCCCAGTTCTTGGGGTCATGTAGCTGTTGACACGAAATATGTTAATACTGCTGAGAAACCCAGGTCCACTTCACAACAGCTTCAGCTCATGCCTGCATTGTTCACCGTAGTGTATAGGAAAGAAAAGATTGACTAAGCAAGGAGCTTGGATGTTCTGCTTAGCAGGACCGGTTTCAAGGTGCGAACAAGGAGTCTGATAGCGGATGTGCTGTCCTTATCTGTTTTGTGACAGGTCTTCACACTGTCACGTTCTTGATACTGCTGCTTTCAAGCAACGGCCAGTTGGATTAATGAGACCAAAGTGAGGAGTCAGCTTAGTCACACCAGGGTGGGGGTTTTTGGGTTTGTGGGTTTTATTTGCTTGTTTGGGGGATTTATTTTTGTTTTGTTTTGGCTTTTTTGTGGGCTTGTTTTGGTTTGCTTTTTAAACTTCATCTCCTATACAAACAAAATCAGGGACTGAGAAATCATGAAGCAGAATTCATACCACAGGGTTAAGCCCTGTACCATGGAAACCAGCCAGTAACAGACTTATTTCAGTACCTCCCTGCAAAATATACTTCCCTTATTTTGAAACAAGAAAGGTTTTTATTATAGGCTTTTATTAGATCCTCTCATTTTACTTGATTTTAATTGGTAGGGAGGAAGAGAGAGAGGGGGAAGCTGAAGAGACGACTGACAGGGGCAGCATGTGCGTGCCCATGGTATTAGCTCTATTGCCCTGGTGACTGTCAGCGTCCTGCTCTGCGCACGCACGGTACAGAAAGGAATACAAATAAAATACCACAACCACCGCCGGAGCAGCTAACGTTCCGAGTAAGTAAAAGACGACAACCCAAACCACGCATCATCATCTACAAAAAGGCGCAAGCAAACCCTGATGCAACCTCCTTCCCCGCCTCCCCCAGCAGCTTCCCGGCGGCGCGGGCATCCAAGAGCCCCCCCCGCCCACGGCCCCTGCCGCCTCCCGCCAC